CGGCCCTCGGGCCCGGCCCTGCGCTCGGGGTCGGGGTCCGCCGGGGCCTCCGGGGTCGGCTTCCCCACTGCCTGACAAGGGAAACGCTGAGCTAGGTTGGGGCGCGAGGCTCCCCCGGGGTCGAGGCCTCGAGGCCCAGACCCAGACCCAGGTCCAACAGGAGGGTCTGAGCCGTGGCGCACCTCGCGGGAGGCGCTGGACGGCACGTAGTCCAGCCGCTGGTGCCCGTCCAGGCCGAGCTCGGGGAAGCGAGGCCCCGCCCCCAGGGCGAAGTCGTCGGGGTCCGCGGGGAGGCCGGCGTGGCCGGCGCGCAGCTTCTCGAACAGGCCCTGCGGCCGCAGGGGGGCCAGCTGCGGGTCCCACTGGTAGTGCTGCTGGTAGAGCTGGTCGCGGTGGAAGTGGCTGGTCTGGAAGCGAAAGTCGTCCCCGTGGCTGAGGAACGTCTGCCGCGACACCTGCCGGGTGGCCGCGAAGTTCTCCACGGCCGCGCCGCCATCTGCCGCGGCGTAGCTGTGCCGCTTGAAGGCGTCCATCTCCAGGTGCCTCGCCTGGAAGAAGCCCCGCTGGCCGGCCATCTCCCCGCCTGGCCCGGCCTCCCCGTCCAGCCGCCGTGACAGTGGCCGCAGCCCCGCGTGCGGCTCCAGCGCACCCCCGGGCATCCGCAGCGGCTCCTCCCGCCGGAAGGCAGACAGGAAGTGGCGGTCGGGGTCCAGGAAGGAGGGGAAGCCCAGGCCCTCTTCCCGGGGCGGAGGGAACAGGAGGTGCGCTCGCTTGGGGAAGGAAAATGGGGTGGGGGCCCCCGGCATCTGGCTGCTCGTGAGCGGCCCGGCCCCCAGGTACGGAGCCAGGGCATAGGTGTCCACGCGGGCCAGTGCCCCAGCCGAGGGCACCAGAGGCTCGGACTGTGCGAAGAGGATGCGGAACTCCTCGTCAAAGCTGGACACCAGCTCGCCCTGGAACACGTGCGCCAGGCTGCGGTGGATCTTCTCAAAGGACCACATGAAGCTGCAGGACGGGCCAGAATTAGGGCAGCGGGGGC